GTATTTCCATGCTGTCAGTCCTGGGACTGCACGTCAGAAGTGAAAATTTCTTAGCTTCACAAATTTGTAAACATTATTTTTGGGTTTTTAAGAAATATTTTTAGAAAGTAATTTTTATTAGAAATTATTTTTATAAACGTCTTATTAAATATAGTAGTAATTTTGTTCATTTATTGAGTTGTTTTACATGAAAATAATGATTATTATCTATACACATATTTAATACAAACAAATTTATAAATACGTATAAATTTTATAAAATTTAATCAATTGGATTTTCAAGATTACTTTCATCAATTTTAGGTATCTAAGCGCGACGGTCACGCGATTTCAGTGTTTTTTCTCCAACCTCAAAGTGCCCAACGTGCCTAAAGACGTTTTCACTTCAATAAATTTAAAAATAAAAAAGGTTGTACGCTAAAAATAATTCTTAGCATGACAACAAACATGATGTCAGACATTCCGTACCTTTTGTTTAGGCGATTGCATTTGTCTCATATTAAATAAAAAATTTATATAACACGTAAAGTAATAAATTTTTACGGTTTGGGAAGGTTAGTTTTAAATTTTTTAGCGTTTTTTAATCGAAAATTAATGATAGTTTTTTTTAAATAAATAAATTAAGCAATCAAAAATTATAAACATCAGTAGGTTATATTGATGTAAAAAATAATAATAAAATATACCTTAGCTTTGGATTGAACTATTACAATTTACTACTTGACATGAATATCTCCAAGATTAGCCCCATTCCTTAATCGCTTAGCTTGGCAAGCTGATTGCGGCAGGCAGGTACCTACCAGTTGCCTTGTATATATGGGTGGCATACGAGATGGTGTACTAGCAGCTATCGGCGGCCACGAGCTGTATTTGGCCTTTACATTGATCGCTTTTTAAGGCACTCCTGGTACGAAATAAGGTTTTTCGCTTACTCTTTCACAAAAAGGCATAATGGAATTAAAAACATTTTTATTATCCTTACATACTGCAGAATATTTTTTGCATTTGGTTGCTTTCCTTATATGTTAATACTTAATACTACTAACTTTTAAATGCAATAGTCTATTTAGTAATGAAAAAAGTATATAAGTAAGTATTAAAAGTAACATTTCGGATTATGTGGTTTATAACGTGGCAGAGTCATGCTGCAGCTATATTAATTATATAGTTGTAGCATGAATGGTTCGGCTCGACCGGGGAAATACCACGCTCTCACAGAATACCAGCGTGAAATAGCAGCTTATATGCTGCTGTATTTCGTGTGGTGAGTGTAGAGAACCTGAAACCCTTTTTACTGGAAAAGAGGCATTCCATCTTAGTCCTCAAGGGTGACAACGCATCTGCATTTTGATTCGCCAACGAGGATAGATGTAGATGTCTATGGGCCACAGCAACCACTTACCAACAGGTGGACTGTGGGCTCACTTGTCACGCTTCCTATAAATAAATGTGTTTTTAAATAATTGAAATCCCAAATCTTAATAACTTTTATCGGAATCTTATGCAAAACCAAATGTTAGATTTAACTTCAGGATTTTGTTTCAAATTTCGCTAATATGCAGTTTGGACCGTATTTTTTAAAAGAAGACAATATGGCAGTTCAATATATTTAATAAATATTAGTTTTGTAATGAGAAGTAATTAGTTTGTCTTTGCCTTCTTCGTGAGGTGGCGAAAGAGAATCAATTTTGCTATTCGGGTGTTACAAGTGACGACATAAAGTAATACTAGAAAGATTTTGTGACTCCAGACGTTGCGGCGGTATAACTTTATCGTTTCCGCTAGATCTAAAATACCAAAATCTGCACCAAATAGCAGTTTCAAGTTACAAAAAATACGTTTGTTTCCTTCTTAAGAACAAATCTCATGCACAAAATTTTCATCGAGTGTAAACTTAAATAGCACTAATTATGTTTTAAGGTACTATTTTCTTTTTTAGTGATTTCTACCTAATCTATTTTTATATATTATGGGTAACATACGAGCACACAGTCCATTTAATGGTAAGTGATGCATTGTCACCCCTGAGTTCTAAGCTGCATTAAGCTGCTATTTCATTCTGGTATTCAGTAAGAATGTGGTCCTTCTTCAGCCGAGTCGACCCCTTCGTGCTACAATCATAATATCGTGGCAGCATGACTTGACCACGTATTTATAACATAGCGTAAAGTAATTCTTTCACACCGTCACATTTAAAAAATTTTTAAATTAACCTTGTTACAATTTTTATGATCATTAATAGGCCAGTCATTAGACTGTCCTACTGGTTTCTTAAATACCAATCCACTTAATAACTAAGTGATTTCAAATGTCTACTCGTATTATATTTATTTTTATCTTTAACAATGAATTTGAAGTCTTTATGTGCCAGATGGGCGAAACTCACGGGTAAGTGTTGTCGGAAATACTGCACGAGTTGATCACGTCCTGCACCTCATGTCGTCAACCATCGATGGGTGTTGGAGTGTTACGAAGGATGTCCAATAAGAATTCTTCAATAGGTTCAGAAAACGTAGGTCTTTCAGTCGGCCTTGTGGTCGGTTCTTCGTACAATAATGATGGGCCGCTGTGCCACTCGTGGTTGGAGTCGAAGTTTAGTGGCACGTCCCTCATGGTGATGTCAGTAATGTTCAGCTTGGTAGGCACCCAACACCAGTCTTCCACCTTGCTATGTTCTTCGATTCCTGCTATGCGGTGGGCGATGAAAGGTTTCTATGTTCTGGACCCCTTTTTGATCCATGTGTGCACTGTTTTGCTGTCCGTCCAATAGGTGATGACTTCGGGAATAACTCGATATTTTTCGATGATAGCGGCGGCTACGTGACTTCCAATCACGGCTGCTTGTAGCTCGAGGCGAGGTATGGGTGTGACTTTGAGCGAAGCTACCTTCGCCTTGGCCATGATGAGGCTCACGGTACTTTTCCGTCGGGTATCGTTGTCCTCCATTAAACTGCCGTTGCGTAGGCGCTCTCACTGGCATCGGTGAACACGTGAACTTGGAGGGATCGAGCGTTGCTGGATCCTGCGTAGCATCTTGGGAAGCTCACCGACTTGAGGCGTTCCAGACCAGTGACCGGTGAGTTTTTATCCAAATTCTGTTCCTAGTCGGTTCCTCGTCTCCATGCTTCCTGAAGTATCTGCTTTAAGCGAATTGTCACTGTGATATCATTATCTTGAGAGCTTCCCTCTTGGTTGGTGTCTTGTGCAGTAGATGGATTGGAAGTCGAGCGAGCTTGAGGTTGAAGCTTAATTAGTCGGTACCCGGCTCTCATATCAGTCCATCTTCTCTTATATTCCCTTGCTGCCCAGGTTGACTGACTCGGCTCGATTGCGGTCTGGTTCCAGTTCGTCCACGACTCGTGTTGCGTTGGAGACCTATTTTTTAAGTTGAAGTGCGCTTCTTTGTGTATATCGCGTACTTTTTTGAGGTCTTCGTTACCTCTTCCAAGAACCGGAGACTGTCAAAGTAGTCGTCCATAAAGTGGTTCTGGGCGATAGCTTCCACGACTTCTAGATAATCTTTGAGGTGTTTCTTTACGTTTTAGTTCTTGGCGAATATGGCTGTTCAGGGCGGACTAGCTGCACCGAAGATGATCGATGTCATTCTATAATCTTGTATTGCTCCGTCGCGTCGATTCCCTATCTAGAGATATCTCAGTGTGTCTTCAGCTCTGACTTTCACTTGCGTATACATTTCTGCTATGTCTGCAGAGACGGCGATCTTGTGGCGGTGAAACGCATCATGACCCCTGGTAGTGACTGCAGTAGATCTGGAGAAGTGAGCAGGAAGTTATTTAATGCCATCCCCTTTGTTTTAGCTGCAGTATCGTGCACTATACGGAACTTCTCTGGCGTGATTGTTTTCGGCGCTATCTCAGCGTATCCCTTTTATGGAAGGAAGTGCATCTGTACACTATATTTTTTCTTTAATTCTGCGTATCGATCTAATTTCTTCTCGTTGGAAGCGAGTCTCTTCATTGCTATCTCGTAATTGCCAGGCATTTTAATATCCTTTTTCTTCTTTTGACGCTGATATTAAGTATGCCTTCAGCTTTCTTCTCTGGATAGGAGCCTTTTCTTCTTGGGTTGATGATGAGAGATTCTAGTGCGAAATATTCTTGGAGTTGTTACTCCATCTTCTCCTCGCTCGTGATCAGTTTATTGACCGTATGGACGCACTGATCCAGGGCTTTGGTATGTGCTCCGTGTAGCAGCCAATAATTCTATGAGCGAGGTGATCGGCTGGTGCGGTAGACCTCTGCTGACTTGGCTGGCTAGTAGTAATTTCCAGTTATACTGTCTTATCAGGATCCTCGGATTGCCGGAGTCCTATGTCAGTTGCTGCTTCAGGTCCTCCAGGTGTTTGCATTGGGCTATGTCTACTACATACACGATCTGGGGTTCCAAGTTCACTCTTGTGACCGTGTGTGCTCTGAACGGCACCTTTCCGCTGTGTAGACTCTTCAACGTGACTCTTCGGGATCCCGACGAGTCGAGAGTAGTGTAGCCGATAGCGGAGACCTTGAAGATGTCCAACCACCCTGTGCCTCTAATTTGTTCTGTAATATATACAAAAATAATGGTTAAAAGTTTATGCAGCTAAGTTTTCACTTCTGACGTGCAGGTCTACGACTGACAGTTTTTATAATACGAGTAGTTATTGCGTTATTATAAATAAGTCGAAGATGAATGCATGTAAACTGAAATCTTCTTATCTTATAATATATAAAAATCAATTGCCGTCCGTTAGTATCGCAAAAACTTGAAAATGGCTCGACCGATTTTGATGAATTTTTTGTGTCTATTTGAATGGGTATCTGGATGGTTTAAAAACTTAACTGTGCCTGGTAGATGGCACTGTTCAAGATCCAGAAATCACCCGTGAAAGCCGGGGCGTATCGCTAGTTAAATATAAAAGTGCAATAATTAACTTCTCTGTATAAAATCCATATTTATATGTAATTACGTACTCGTAAGTGCAATACTTTGTGTTAACGACAATGTCAAAGCAAGAAGAGATAACAACCGATTTCAAGCCGAGTGAGACATGGAGGATCGTGAAAAACGTAATCATTATCAGCTTAGCTTTTATGGTTCAGTTCACAGCGTATAGTGTGAGTATTTTCTTATTATGTAGCTTTTTAATATTTAATATGGTTTATTTATTACAAATAATAAATAATGCGACAAAAACAGAACGAGGAGGTCAGTATTTGCGATTTGTAAAGAATATGAATTTGTCCAGTTGATACTGTAAATGTAAATAAGAGTTAGATCAGACCATAATAAAATAAGTTTCACTGTTGGACAGAAGTTTCTGTTATATATGTATTTCTAGATAAGGTGATTATGGTAATTTCAACGTAACGTATAAGTTATATAAAAATAATAATATTATCTATATAAAAATCTATATAAATATAGATAAAAAAACTAATACCTATTAATAACCTTTTTATGGATTAGAAATTAAACTTGGAAACTTCTTAGATTTTATGATTTTCGATAGATGTCACTACTTTCTATTTAAGTAGGTACTAATGAGTTACTATAAAATTTATTTATTCCTACTAAAATGTAATAGCGAAAGAAATAAAAAACAAACGTTGGAATTTTCAAATTAATTATGAATTTTATTATTTTAACATATAAATGTAAATAATTATTACGAGTATTACTTAATTTACAACTTTTTGTATTTCACTAATAATATATATAATTATAAATATTTTATGTATTTATAAAAGCCATGAGATTTCTTCATTTTCTCTATCGTGTTCAAGGACCATGCTCATCGGTAGACCGATATAAGCTACCAAAAGCTTCCGCGTATATGAGTATGTACGTAGGTACTACGATTAATGTATGTCTAGAGTAGTTCTCAGTTTTTGATGGTATTTTGAATTTTGTTTAGTTGAAAATGTTCAAGAAAATTTCAAAGGAATCAAAGAATTCAAAGGATCAGCACTAAAATCTTTATTAAGGTTGACATTACCTCAAAACTCCAATGCATATTATTTATTTTAAACATAAGATATTTTTAAAAGTGTTCATTAATAATTTCAAAAATTGATTGATCTTTTAATTTGCGTCACTTAAGAATATTTTCTATAAAAGTGCAACTAGTTTGACCCTTTGCACACTAAATGTCTTAATACAAGGATGAAACGCTTGAAATTGCTTGCAACATAACAAAAAAAAATTTCAAGTCTATACTTTTATTTTTCTTATCCTTGTCTGGTTTTTAGTATTTTTGAGAGGCCTTTACAAAAAAAAGAGATTAACAAAAATAAATTTAAATTTGTATGTTTCTTTTACCAGTATTTTTTCAACATTGATTTATTTTTTAGGGTGCAGCTAATTTGCAAAGCTCCATTAATGCAGAAGCTGGTTTGGGTACTGCCTCCTTGGCAGCTGTATATACAGGATTGCTTTTCTCAAGTCTATTTCTGCCCGTTATCATTATCAAGTAAGTATAATATAAATATTAATAGCAGGCACATACAAATTACCAGAGTAAAATAGCAGCTTACGAGTAATGCTGCGGTGTTTCGTATAGTGAGTGTAGAAAACCAGATCTCTGGTTATACCATAAACGAGGCATTCTATTTTAGGCCTCAGGGGTGACAATAGAGCAAATAACACCTTATGCTAAGTGGATGCTGTGGCCCATAGACACTTACATCTATCATCGATCGTCATCCCGAACGACTAAGAGCAAATGCCTCGTTACGTTACGATTGTGCCGACTCATTCGTGCTGCAGCGATAATACGGTTGCAGCGTCCAACAACTGTTACTTTTACAGCCTATTAAATTCCACTGCTGAAAATAGGCCTCCCCCATAGATTGTCTTATAGCAGGTATATTTGCCATAATTACTACGCTTGGCAAGCGGAATGGCAACCGCTCCAAACGCTAATCAAACAAATAGCAGTTTAATTAGTTTTTCATCTGCGACACTGCTTTCTTTACTTTGTCTTTTTGTGTGTTAGAGCTTTGAACTTTCGATTTTTGTAATTTATTTAAAAATAACAACCCTGCTATGATGTAAAATAGGTATACATATGGAATTGCCGTTGTGCATTACTGGCCATTTCAAATCAAAATATGTTTTGTTTGGCTAAGAATTCTATCTTCAAATTAAATCCATTTTAAAAATATGTATTTTTTAAATTATTCATTTGTTTATTGATTAGCGTTATGTTTTCATCGCATTTGAATCGTTTTGGTCATTATGAATACGTCAAAAATTCGTGTAATGGTGGAATATGTGTGCCGTCGTAGCAACAACGCGCACATTCGGCACGCAACATCAACGACGCTTACGGAACGAATACTTCAAACGAACGCACCACCTGTTAGTGGCTTGCCGCCTCCATTCTCAAAATTTCGACTTCAAAAATGAACGCCGTGGTCGTCCGAAAATTTTGGTCGACAACGACGAATTAAAGGCGATTGTGGAAGTTAATGATACTCAATCTACGACTGAATCAGAGGCATTCGACGTTAGAAGCAAAACAATATTGGTTAATTTGTGTCAAATTGACAAGGTAAAAAAGCTTGACAAATAGGTGACCCTCGGACTGAATGGCCTCCAGTGCCTTATACTGCTCAACAGGCACACATACGAAGGAATTTTGAATCACATTGTTACCTGCGACAAAAAATGGATTCTGTTTGACAATCGCAAGCTTTGGTTGGTTGAACCCTGGTTCAGCAACTAAACAATACCTTAAACGAAAACTTATCCCTAGAAAAGTGATAGTCACTTTTTGGTGGTCTAGCGCCGGTGTGATACATCACAGCCTCTTCCCAAACGGAATGAGCATTAACACAGATGTGTACTGTGAAGAACTGAACACAATGATGGAGAAGCTCGCATGTCGCCAATCACCTTTGGTCAATCTCTTGTCCCCGCTGCTCGCGAACTCATACTGTACAACAGATGATCTCCAAGTTACACGAGCTGGAGTTGGAAGCTCTCCGTCATCCGCCATACTCACCAGACCTTGCGCCAATAGACTTCTACTTTTTTCAGAATTGGGATAACTTTTTGGCGGGAAAAAATTCAATACCTGAGAAGCAGTACAAAATGTTTTTGAAGAATGTGTTGCCTCCCGTCAAACCGATTTCTTCAAGAAGTGCATCAATAAACTGCCACTGCGTTGCACATTGCGCGGGTGATTACTTTGATTAATAGAAATTAAAAGTATAGAAAAAAAAATTAAGTTAACATATTTCATAAAAAAATTCATAGGTAAAAACCTAATATTTGAGAAAAAAAAATGTTTAGTGTTCATATTATAAGTAAACGGCGTGTCTTTTTTGTTCTTTATAGATGCTGGAAGTAATTTTTTATACCGTTGTGTCCGGGTTGTACAAAACTAAAAGGCCTTGTAATCGCCAATATGTTAAGTAATGATTTAAATTAAGATAAATAAGAGTAACATAGGCCTCCCCCAAAGAATGCCACAAAGCACGGTCCTGAGCCACCTGCATCCATCGACTTCCTGCATATCTTACCAGGTCGTCACTCCATCTAGTGGGGGGACGCCCTACACTTCGCCTGCCGGTACGAGGCTGCCACTCGAGAACCTTTATTCCCCATCGGTTGTCGGTTCTTCGAGCTATATGGCCGGCCCATTGCCACTTCAGCTTACTAATCCGTTGGGCTATGTCATATTTTTAGGCCTATGTTCAGCAGTGGACTTGTGAAGGGCGGTAATGATGATGATGATGATGATGAAATAAGAGTAATATTATATTATTTCGGTCAGCCGCCAGTTTCAACGGAGACTAGCCATCTGCGACAGGACAGGATTAAAGTATACGAGAGTGTGCATTAGCAGTTGTACTTTCTATTCCCTCACTCTCATAGTCCGATGGTACGGCAATCCGACACAACCTCATAATTTCCAGCAACCAAACTATACTTTAGGAGTACACGGCGTCTTAATAACTGACCGTGGGAAAACACAAAGATCTGACCCAGCATCCACGAGGAAAACCATTTTAGAAACACGGTCAGTAACAAATAGAGGGCCTCTGTTAACTGGGCAATCGCTGGCCGCTACTGCTGACTGACCATTGAGTTTTCTACTTCCAAATTACAAGCTGCTAAACATTTCCTGGAACGCACATCATATGTAAACTGATACCAGCAGTGAGGGTGATTTGGAGGTGTCTGTGGTGGTCACGTTGTAGAATAATTGTGCTTACCTCTGCCGTTGGATTTAGATCGAGACCTTGAGCGATATCAGCGATACTTATTTATCTGTGTTGTAAGTTTCGCTACTTACTTAGTCAATTCACTTATCTGTTTAACCAATTGCTTCGTAAGAACAAGTAGGAATATCCGGAGATGAAGTACTGGCAACTTGTCCTAGAGTGGTAGGCGTAATCTCGGGAACCTTGCCTGCTAAATCTGCTAACTTATCTAATTGCAGATCAGACCGTGATGCCATTATTATTTGTAAATTTCCTGGTAAACGGCTTGACCATAAGGTTTTCAAAAAATCTTTAGCAATTGCAGGTCCGTCGTGAGATGGCTTTTGATCGCCCAACTCTTCGTGCATGAGGAGTTGTTTAACCATACTATCTTGGGATGCAGAAAGACACTTAAAAGTGCCGTTTTTAACTTTTCATATTTGTTTGTTGACAGCGGTGAAGTAATAATTTCCTTTACCTCTGTTGCATATTGGTGGTCAAATTGTGCAATAACGTGGTAGAATTTTGTTGTATCAGACGTTGTCACATTTGATAAAATAAACTGGCCTTCCATTTGGGCAAACCTGGTTCTTCAGGAAAAAACTAATAGAGAGAAACTACTACTAATAGGGGAAAAAAGGGAGGAAACTAATAAAACAATACAAAAATTTAACAATCGTAAGTATACAAATGCAAGGCGATTGAACGTGCGTGTACTTCCGAATCTCTAAGCGAGTGATGTATACTTAATATCATGGACGTAACTTCCGAAGGTTTCCGAAGTATTCCGATGAGTACGAGCGCGCGCCGTGACTTTGTTCATAGTTGGTATTCCCACACTAGTATACTATTCAAAAAAAATTACTATAAGTAAGATATTGATAAGTTTCGTAAGAGCCTCCGAAATATATCGTGGGAAAAGAAACTTTTGATGACACTTTTTTCATTACAAAAATATAAAATGAAAACAGATAATTTAGCTCCAAAGTGGATCACAAAAAGTTTGCTAGTAAAACTAGAAGAAAGCTAAAACATGAATATTAAAAACACAAAAGTTTAGAAAACAATTTAATTTACAACAAATATTCAAAATTATTAAAAATTGCGTAACATGGATGAAAAAAAATTAAACATGCAATACCTGATACATTCAAAAGGTAATACCTGGGAAATTATTAAAGATTTTGAATATAATGATACACAAAATAATATAATTGACTGGATTAATTGTAAAGGAACTAAAATAGATGATGCTTGCGTCATAGCCAGTAAATTTAATGAGTATCTTATTAAAACGGCTCTTCAAGACTGTTCTCCTTTAAATAATAAAACGAAAAGGAATATTTATGAAAATTTTCAATCATTGACCTTTTTAAAACCCTGCTCATTAAATGAAATCAATCTTATAATAAACTTTCTTAATAATACTAAATCTATTGCTTATGATTCAATTACTACATACATACTGAAATCTTGTGTGAAGACAATTGCACCCATTCTGACATATTTTATAAATCTTTCTTTCATACATGGAAGATTTCCAGTTAAATTAAAAACATCTATAGTCAAACCCTTATTTAAAAAAGATGACCGTCATGAGATTCATAACTATAGACCGATGACATTAATACACATTCCGCCTAAAATATTTGAAATAGCTATGCATAGTTGAAGTTGAATTACGAGTTTTGCTGCAAAATATAATATACTCAGAAACGAACAAAATGGCTTTCAAAAATACACATCTACTACACTTGCTACTTTTTCACTAATACGTCGAATAACTGAATATATTAATGACAGAGTACCAATAGCAGCCATCTTTTTTGATATGTCTAAAGCCTCTGACTATGTAGAACATAGCACTTTGTAAAAATGTAAAAAACTAGGAATCAGTAAAAATCTAGAGTTAACATATTACAGATCTCCTTATCTACAAAATGTCTATGGGGTGCCTCAAGGGAGTGTTTTAGGCCCTTTAGTGTTCATTCTATATATAAACGACTTACCGAGTATAACAAATCATCAGTCCACACTATTTACTTATGTAAGGGCAAAATATTAGTAGAGGTAGTAGATACATAATTCCTAGGTGTTGCTATTGATCAACATGTTAACTGGAAATTACACATTAAGAAAGTATGCAAAAAAAAATTATTCAATTTGTTTATGCACTACCTAGACTTCAAAATGTAGCAGGCCCGCAAGCTGCGCGTGTCACTCACTACGGATACATAGACGAAGGCCCCTGTTTAAAGAAAAAAATATTCTCACTTGATCTGAGTTATATATATAGATATTAGAAATCTGCTTTTTCGTTATAAGTAATTCTAAATAATTTGTTATCGTGGAGGAAAATAATAAATTTGTAGCAAAAAGAGTTTCCAACACGTCTACTGATGCCACCTTGTAGAACTACATTATTTCACAATAATTGTCTCATAATGTGTATTACGGTATATATAATAAAATTCCTAAAAATATTCGTGAACAGACATTAAGGCGAATGAAAAAATTTTAAAGCATTGGCTAATAAATACTGCCTTTTATAATATCAAAGACCTTTTTGACCCATTTTGATTTTGCTTTTCATTTTTCATTGATTTTGCTTAACTATGTACTTTACTATGTATCCAGGAATTTTCGTGATACTTCTCAATCGAAATAAAAGTTATTCCTCTAATTTTGTTATGTTCTTCTAAAAACATAAATATAATCATTACAAAGTAGTAGTTACATACAGGTCTACTATTATGTTTATTTCAAACTTCTGTTGATTTTTTCTGAATACATTTATTTTAAATAATTTTTCGCATGCCACGAAAAGCATAATATGTGAAAAGAAGTATTAACTCTGTATCCATCCTTCTGTACCCATATTTCAGCGAAATAACTGATTGATTGATTGACAGTAATGGGCTACTGCAGTCTATAGATACCTGCAGCCAACTTCAAACAAAGATAGCAGCTCAACGCTGCTGTGTTTCGTACAGTGATTGTAGAGAACCGGAGATCCATTTTACTGGAAACACGGCATTCCATCTTAGTCCTCACAGGTGACAACGCATCTGCATTTTGATTCGTAATTTAGGATAGATGTAAATATCTATGACCACAGCAACCACTTATCGTTAGGTGGACTGTGTGCTCGTTTGTTACCTTCATCCTATAAAAAAGAAGGCTACAGATCTGATGCCATCAATGAGGATTAAGATGGGATTCCTTAAAGCCTGTAATTATTCTGACTCTCTATACCCTTAAGACCGTAACACGAAGCAAGGTCAGACACAGTAGGCAGAGAAGTAATCCTACCACCTACCTACCTAGTAAGGCTGACATGTAAAGCACATCCCATTCTCTCTTAGACCCATACTTAATAATATACGAGTAAAATATAAATAAAGCAAATTTTCTAGATGGTTGGGCACTAAATGGGCAATGGTATTGTCATTCTTGTCTTACATGCCATACATCGCAGCGCAACTGCTGCCGCGCTTCTGGACCTTGATCCCCGCTGGCCTCATTCTAGGCATCGGTGCGGGTCCGCTGTGGTGCTCCAAATGTACTTATTTGTACGTGGTAAGATTTTTTATTTCAATTATATATTTAATTTTTTACTTTGGTAGTGTACACTTTTGTGTGAAAATCCCAAACAAATTACAAATCAATTGAAATACTTCTTATAAAATTATAAATCAGTTGGCGATGTTTAAAAAAAAAGAGGCCACAGCTATTATTTATAACCGCGTCAAAAAACGAGGAGATTCTATATTCAATTTATATGTTTTTATGTATGTTAACCGATTTATCATACTAATGACTCCTTTTTGTCAAATAGCTTCTATTTTCAGGGTGGTTCCATATAAATTTGAAGAAATATTGAAAATGAAGTTTTTATTGTAACTCGTGGAAATTTATTTTATTCCTTTTGAAGTCGATTTTCACCTTTACGTTTATTATTGTAATTAATGTTGTAAGTTGATTGGACCCCTGAGATAAAAATATAATTTGTTTTGAAAATATATTTCCTTGTTTGCCCGTCTACCTTCACAGTTTCATTACAGATAAAGAGTCGTAAGCAGGAAGTCTGCAAAAAAAAACTGCGACGAGCACATAATTAGTAACTAGTATTATTATTAACATTAAACATATAATTTTATTTAAAAAATATTTAATTACTTATAACACATAATTAGTAAATAGTAGTATTATTATTAACAAGTAGTATTATTAACGGCATTCAGACGTCGTATGATTTCGGTAGTGTTATATCATTGATTCAGGATTAGTTCACAGCCGGAACCAAAATTTGCGTCGAATAAGTCATACTTCTTAACAGCAAACATGGAATGTATTGAAAAATGGTAATAAAACTTTAAACTTAATTGCAAATTATGATTGACTAGTTGTGCCCCGCGGTTTCATCCGCGTATATCACGCGTCTGCACCTCGCGACATGCGAACTTCGAGAGAGACATCACGGCGGACGGTTGCTGAATTAACAAAGATTTAAAAAGTGAAATATGTTACTTAAATTACATGGTTAACGTAATTGGTGGTTATGCATGGTACAGGTACTGATACGAATAATGTGGCCTAGTGTGTACCGGCGTTACTATTTCATATTTTAACATGAAAAAGTAGTTATCGCAGGCTTTTTGTAGATATTGATATCCTCTATAAAACTGAAGTACATTACTTTGCTCTATTATTAATAGTTTCCGCAGTGTACGCGATATAAGGATTCTTTTTGGTATTTTTTTCACACCTTGGGTTACATTAACGAAGTTTTTATACGGATCCCTAACTTTTTTGAAAATATTACCCATAGCACAGGGTTACCTAGTTTGGGCTCCTGTCTCCCACAACAACTTAAAACTCTTAAACTATTTATGTAAGAAATGAAACTGTATAAAAAGTGGGAGAAATAAATAAATATTATTATTATTATTATTATTATTATATAGCCTATGCTCATCAGGTATAATGTAGGTGAATGGTGAAAGAATTTTTCAAATCGTTCCAGTAGTTTCGGAGCCTATTCAATTCAAACAAACAAATAAACAAATCTTTCCTCTTTATAATATTATATAGTGTAGACGTAGCTGGGCACCGTTAAGTAAATAATTAACTTCGTTAATCGCTAATCCGTTACTATAAACGTTAACTTCGTTAAAACTTAACGCGTTACATTTCGGAAGATTTAACGAAAGTTAAAGTTAAGTTGGGGCTATAGGGCGGGTGACCCAGTAATTCCACGTCTCACATCGCCAAGTAGTCGATTGTTTGCTTGACGGTGTGCGACGAGGCGTTGTCGTGATGAAGGAGGATCCTACTGCGAGGTCGTTTTTCCCGAACATTTTCCAAGACAAGTAGCAAACAATTGTTAGTGTACCACTCCGCAGTAACTGTTTTTCGATCCTGTAAAACAATTGTTGCATAATGACCAGTCTTTCCAAAGAATGAGGCCACCATCTTTTTTCCCACGATTCGATCTCTCTTCACTTTAGTTGACAACTCCTCGGAAGGAAACACCCAGACAGCAGACTGTCTTTTAGTTTCAGGATCACAACAATAAATCCAGCTTTCGTCACCCGTAAGTATGTCAACATTTATGACGTGTGACGACACAGCATTTGAGTCACCTCTGTTAAATCTTTGAACCATTTCACGACACCAATCAACGCGACGGAGTTTTTGGACCTTTATCAAATTATGAGGTATCCACCAGGCACTAAGCTTCCTGAACGCTAAATTTTCATGTAGGACTTTGTGCACTTAACTCATACCGATGCCTAAGCTTGTCCAAATCTGCTGATAAGTCACTCTTTTGTCAGTCTCTATCATACGCCACACAACACTGATGTTATCTTCATTCGTCGCCGTAGAAAGCCGTCCCTCACACAGATCATCGGTGAGATTAGTGCCACCTCTTTTACACTCATTAAACCAGTTGTAAACAGTGGCACGAGATGGAGCTTCATCGTGAAAGGTCAATCGAAGTCTATCATAACTTTCTTGTTGACTTAAATGACATTGAAAGTCATAAAAAATCATTGAATGAAAATTTTCTCGCGTTAAATTTATGCTAACGTGACAATTTTCAATTTGCCGCCAAATCGTAAACAAATGACAAATTAATAAAAGACATACGCAATAATATTGGCAAAAAGTTCTATTTTCAAAACTAGAACTTATTTTTTTTATTATATCGTTTACAAATGGCCAGTTCTAAAAACTTTCAGTGTCGCCCTCGTATTAGGACGGAAAAACAGACGCCGGCAAATTATTCTACTCCTTTGCTGTACGCATAAATAATATTCAAATATCCGGATTACCAAATAGCTCTGAGTGGAATTCGAACCCACAGCCTGAAGCGCCCCAGCCTAACGCTTAACAACCGCCTACAGAGCCATCATAATCTATAACTGTATTTAAACCTAGAACCCTTCAATCAATGGGTCACACCAACATGTTCTAATTTGACAATAAAACCTATATAGCTTTAAAGCTATGTTTATGAAAATAACAATAGTTTTTGTTTCATCCAAATTGGTGCAGAAATACGAAAGCTATAACGTTTTGAAGTTTCGCAATATTTTTTAATTTTAACCGCTCGTTCTCTGTGACGTGATGTCACAATCCGAGAGAGCGAACGCGCAGTAAGAACTTGCTAAGTTCAGTACTAACCGCGCGCTCGGAAGTAATCGGTCGTTTACCTACATGTTAAGCCTGGCGTCGACTACAGCAGAATTGCGTCGAATTGAAGCGAATCGCATTTATTCTTAGTGCGTCCATCTCTGAAGAATTGAATCGAATTGTTCATTCGTCGCAAATTATTTATCAAAATAGGTCGTTTTTGCGTCATGGACAGCTCGGATGAAAAGATGTTTTATTTCATCGTTATAATGTGGGTCTTCATGATTAAACAATTCTGGGTATTGTTGGACCAGTGATATCAATAGTTCTTCATTCATTTTTATTTAAACAAAAGATTTTTACGAAAAAGAAATAGAAATTAATTAAAATACGCTGGCGCGCATCCACTTCTTCGCGTCGATTGGGCGCGCCGAGTTGAATCGAATCGCATCGGCGAAGAAATTCGCCTGTCAAGCAATTCGTGCGTTCGATTCAATTTAGCGCGCCGCGGCTCGTCGCTGGACGCAGTTTCATAGTAAATATATAGAAGGCGACTTTCTGCAATTCGATTCGACTCAGCTCGGCGAGCCTAGTGGACGCTTAGTCCTATATCGAATGTCAGAGTTAATGTCCGGTTGACTGTATTAGATGACATAATCCTTATAATAAACCCAACGACTATATAATAATTTTGAACTAATAACTTATGAATAATCTAATCGAATCCAATGTTATCAATATTATTTATGATGAATAATTGAATCTAATAATCTAATCTATTATTATGAATAATGTAATCAATGAACTAGGTATTAATAATATTTAACATTTGTATGCCCATGAAGATTCAACTCGGCTGGGCAGCGTTCGGGAAACTACGACACATCTTCTCGTTAGACATACCTCAAAACCTGAAATCGAAATTGTACAACCATTGCGTGTTGCCAGTGATGACTTACGGATCTGAGACGTGGTCCTTCACTGCTGGTCGTATGAGGAAGCTCAAGCTCGCTCAGCGAGCTATGGAGAGGGCTATGCTCGGAGTTTCTCTGCGTGATAAACTTAGAAATAAGTATATCCGCAGTAGAACCAGAGTAACCGACATAGCCCAACGGATTAGTAAGCTGAAGTGGCAGTGGGCCGGTCATATAGCTCGAAGAACCGACAACCGATGGGGAAGAAAGGTTCTCGAGTGGCAGCCTCGTACTGGTAGGCGAAGTGTAGGGCGACCCCCCACGAGATGGAGTGACGACCTGGTAAGACATGCAGGAAGTCGATGGATGCAGGTGGCTCAGGACCGTACTTTTGGCATTCCTTGGGGAGGCCTATGTTCAGCAGTGGACTTATGAAGGGCTGTAATGATGATGATGATGATGCCCATGAGGCTGATCACAGACTGAAGAACTTTATTTGTGTTTAAATAAGACCTTTATGTAGTCTGTGAATCACAAATAAACTATTTGATTTGATGTATAAACTAAAGTATTGAACATTTAGCTTATATATGATTTTTTTTCCAGTAAAATTAAATTTATTTTTATTTTATTTTATTTATTTATTTATTTTCACCAACAATATACATTCAGAAAACAAAAAATATGTGCTTACATCTGATACAATACTATTGTTAGGTGAAGAACTGGTGCCTAAACTAGGAAAACCTGTATCTTAGGTCACCATTTTATTCCCAAGGAGCGTAATATAACAGAAATTAAAAAAAAAAACAGAAAATATAGGTTACTGATAAATAAACAAAATGACAAGAAAAATATGGAGTAATAAATATGGAGAAAATAAGAAAAATATAACAATAAAGACTACTGGTGGCATAGACGTGTCGTTTTGTGACGTCACATCGCGATGCGGAGCAAATCGGTCGTCCTTACCGTAAAACATCATTTTACTCATCTCAATATTTCAGTCATTTTTAAAGGTCGAAAAAAATTAAGAATACCGTTGAATTCGTAATTTTTATACAATTTTTTGATACCCTTAACAAAATTGGGTGGCCAGACCCATTATCCAAAAAGTATCCTTATATTTCAGGTATCAGTGGCTCATAGCAAGATTTCTAAAATTTCAGCCGAAGCTTTGCTCAGTCGTTTCCTTGGAGTGTTTTCTATGATCTTCCAGCTGAATCAAGTATGGGGAAATCTTATTTCTTCTCTGGGTAAGTTTGTCAAACGACGTTTATACGAATTGCGAATGCAAATTTTATCCTAGAATATTTATTGATTCATTTGATATCTGTTGTCGTAGAAAATAACTAAAGCCTAAGACTAATGACTGCGACAGTAGACAATAATTTTACACGTGTCAGAGTCATTCTGCAGCTATATTATGGGTTTTTTTTATAGGATAAGAGTGACAAACGAGCACACAGTCCACCTGATGGTAAGTGGTTGCTGCGACCCTTAGACATCTACATCTATCCTCCATTACAAATAAAAATGCAGATGCGTTGTCACCCGTGAGGACTAAGATGGAATGCCTCATTTCCAGTAAAAAGGGTCTCCGGTTCTCTACACTCACCATACGAAACACAGCAGCGTTAAGTTGCTATTTTACGCTGATATTCTGTGAGAGCGTGGTCCTTCCCCGTTCGAGCCGACCCATTCGTGTTACAACTATACTACTAATATAGCTGCAGCATGGCTCTACCACGTAAAAACGTGTTGTAAGCGATAGTCTTGCCACGATTTGACAATCATATACCATTAGATTCGCAATAAAAATATCTATATTTTCACATTTAATTTTTCAAGAAAAAGAATGAGGGTAGATTACTATATCAGTTTACCTGTGTACACCTGGTAGACAGGTATTGTTGCATAAAAAAGGTAGTCAACCATTCTGTGATATTTTCTATATATATTTTTTTCGATTGATTGAGACCAAATTTATCAAAGAAAAAATAGACCGTAACCGGTAAAAAAAGTTAAATAATTTTTAATTAAAAATAGCCTTGCCAAAATATAGGCTATCAATCTGTATATATCGATTTGTATTTATTTATATATTTCATTATAAAAGAAAATATTTCATCAAGGAAAAGGAGTGGGTATTTTCTTAAGCCGGATCCTCTACTTATTTCGACTAAAGAAATTTCGTTTATCAAATATATTTTTTTTCAAATCTTCTACCGAAACGACATGGCTACCGAAGAAGAAACGGCAAAACAAACTCTGCAGGAATCATCTTTTTTGTCATTTTCAATTTATAGTATATTACATTAGCATAGTAATTAAATAAAGGAAAATATTATTAGACCTATCGGAAACAGAAGCGTGTTCTATCATACTATCAAAAAAGGTCCTTATAGGCAACTCGAACAGACCAGCCCCCTCACACCTGTTTACAGGTACGACGCATGTAGCAGCTACCGCTCTCCTTGACCGTAAGTAAATAGAGGTGGACGACGCCGCCGTAAGCAGAAACCCTTAAGCGAGCATAATACTCAATCTCCTAATATCCATAAAATTAAAACGGTTTATTTAACACACATTAGAACACACACATAATATGTGTACAAATAGATATCTCTAATTTAGTAATAATAAACATACTACCAATGGTTATGTCACACATAGCTTGGTATTGAATTATAATCATCATTTAAACTATAAAAAGCTTTGGATTATAAACAACAACATATTTTTCGAAAAGAATTAAAATATCTTAAGGAATTTTAGTATATACTAGCGATCCAACCCTCCTTTGCCTGGGTGGGATCTGTTAAAGTGGCGTCTAGATTTAAGATAATTTTTCGATTACCCAAAAAGCCCCTTTTTTGTTCGGAACAAAATATAGCTTAGACCTTCCTTCTGGCGTTTGTCTTCTATCTGTTCGTAAAGTTTCATCACAATCGGTGGTTTGGCTATTCCTAAGATTAGCTAAGACAGACAGACAGACAAGCGACGATTTTATAAATGGTTATTCATGTCTTAATAGTATGCAAATAACGTCCTGAGCTTAACAGAAGCCAGTTATTTCTTTATTACAGACAAACGCTAATAAAACAGAAAATCTAAATTATAAATTATCAGTTTCGTTATTATTTCTCAAACGACCACCATTTCCATCTATTTGAACTGTTGACCCAAGGAAATATTATAAATAATTAAATATTTAGCGCGTATTATTTATACAACTGTATTGTCAGTACACTTGAGTGTAAATAGAACACTATGTAAAACATGCATCCTTTAATATTCAAGTAGAGACGATTTTGCAAATATTTTATTGTTCCTCAAACTAAAATCCGCACAAAATTGTCAAGACATTCTGTAGCACAGCTGAAACAACATATTACTATAAATAATTTTAATTTACAAATACATGCCACAACGCTGTTTTTCCCGTATTGAGTAAATTCAATGGTATTTATAACCAGAAATATAATGATATGGTTAGGAAATTGTTTCTAATTTGTTACTCAAATTTAGGTGGTTTTAAATTAACGTGGTAGAGTCATTTTGTAGCTGTTTTATGCCAGCAGCACAATTATTGCCATTAAGAACATTTTCTTACAGAATATCGTCCTTGAAAATAATTAAATGCTACTTATATTTGACATGGTTAGTGACGAGATGAGCTCTTTTTAGTAGTATCGAGGCATTCCATATTATTTATCAAGTTTGGCATCTGCATTTTGATTCTTAATCGATAGATGTAGATGTTTTCATAAGATAAACATAATACCATCTCGTGGGTGCCGTAAGAGGCAAAAGAGTAGTAACTGAAACAGAAGATGGGCAACAGCACCTTCTTAAAAACAAGTAGAAATCAAAAAATGTGGTCGTCAACTCCCCTGCCAAGCGTGCCAACTATGGCCTTATCTCCCCTTGGAAACAATTTTGAAGCCTATGTTCTATATGGCTTTTGATAGATTGTAATGAAATGAATGAAAAAAAGATTCGACGCACGTAGTTATGTGCTAGTTTGTAAAAATGTGAAAAATAAATTTTGTTGCAAGGAAATTATAGATGTAACTAGCTTTTAATAGAGATGTAGCTTACTTTCAAAAACATTGCTAAGGGGTGAAACAAGGAAAAATAACCTATTTTCACACTTATAATATGATACTAAATTTAATATGATTTTATTAAAAAGAGGTAATTTTTGAATTAGGTTATTTTCCATGAAGCAAATAAACGTATGTACACTTTCTGCAACTGTTAATTTTATGACATTTTGCAGAGAATAAAGTTGTACAAAGGAATGAATGTAACGCAAATCCTTTATTGTCTACATTCAAATATTTTTAAAGGAGTTTGTGTATCTGGGTTCAAAGTTTACAAGAGATGGAAAGTGTGAGAGTGATATCGAAAGAAGAGTGAATGCAGGAAACATGGTGAATGGAGCTTTGCACTCCTTTATGAGCAGTCGGAAGGTGTCCAACAAGTCTCGTTTGGCTGTGCATGAGGGGGTGTTGGTTCCGACACTCATGTACGGAAGTGAAAGTTGGGTAGCGGTGAGCGTTAAGAAGTATGATAGGAGTTAAACTGAGTGACAGGATAAGAAATAGTGAGATAAGGAAACGTTGTGGTCTGAAAAAAGATGTAGTGACAAAAATTGAGAAAGGTATGCTGAGATGGTTTGGCCATGTCGAGAGAATGAATGAAGAACGATTGACGAAAAAAGTGTATAAGGCGAGTGTGAACGAAAGTGTTGGCAGGGGTAGACCTGGGCGGACATTTCTAGACCAAATCAGGGACGTCTTGAAAAAAGGCCAGGTCAAGAGTACCCTAAACCGTAGAGCAGGTATGAAGGGAATAATGAAAGTGGACGAAGCGAAACATGTATGTAAGGATCGTAGCAAGTGGAAAGAAGTGGTCTCTGCCTACCCCGACGGGAAAGAGGCGTGATTATATGTATTCAAATATTCTTAATCTACCACGTGGTGTAGACACATCTTAGCGAACAATGACCAAGAACCATTGACATAATGTGTTATCTGATTGCAAATTTCGGATTAGGAATTCGTAATCGAAGTAAACAAGTAAAAGTATCTGGGAAAGTATGTGGATAAAATTTAGTGCATCTTAAAGTGTTCCAACGATAAACTGAGTGTATCAAAAATTACAACTAATGTTACTTATATTAAAAGAGTTACGTTTTTATTTTCGAACTATTTTAAATGCACGAAGTGCAGTAATAATCATTTATGAATTTAATTTAAAATAAGTCGACGTCACGCGTTGAGTCCGCAACGCGCATGGAAATATATGTACTTACGCGTGACGTCAACTTATTTTATTTTACTATAGGAGTACAATTGACAGACGAGCACACAGTCCAAGCAGACTATCAGAAGTGCATTGCTGAACTTTTTCGTTGTTTTTTTTTTTAGAAATATTAGACATTTTATTATTACAGACACGGCTTTTCTACAGATTTATTATATGCATAGATTTTAGATAAAAAACCTTATAACTGTTCTAAAATGATTTGTAATTTAATAATATTTTATTTACGCATTTACTCATGTGTTTTTCAGTTTTATCATCGGGCTACAACGAAGCTGCAGTAACTGCTTTAAACAAGACCCAGATTCTGGAGTTTTGTGGCGCTAACTTTTTACCTAGCGCCGATGCTGGCGATGCTTTGCAAACTCAACCGCCTGAGAGGATTCAAATGATAGCTGGTAAGTGTAGTATAGTGGCGGTTTAAGAATATCCGGGTGTCATAAAAGGTGACAGAGGAAAACAAACCTTGCGTCTTGCAGTATCGTTTTCTTAATAGGAACTAGAAAATAAAAAACTTCGGTTGCAAACACGAGGCATGAGTTACCACTATTAGGAAGGAAAAATGAGGCAAACTATCAGCATATATTCAGCATTGACAAACAAAGCAACATGAAGCTTCTATTTCACGCTGGTATTCTGTGAGAGCTTGATCCTTCCCTAGCGAGCCAACCCTATTATAGCTGCATCGCTTTACTATGTATAAGTTACGCCTAACAACTTTATTACATCATTTCCCACGTTCCTTCCATATTAAGGACCATTAGGTTCACCGTGAAAGATAAGAGTATAAATATACATACATACATAAACACTCACAAAGGTGACAGCCTAGAGGCGTAGGCAGAGAATATGGACTTCCATTTGGCACGATCCTGACACACCTCTCTCGTTTCCTCCACATCCATATACCTACGCATACACGCTCGTCGGTTAAAGTTACTCTTAATTTGGCCTATTTTCAATATATCGCCAATTTGGTCGATAAACTTTCGCCTATGGTGTCCCTTCCCGACTCTGCCGTTCACCTCTGCAACATAAATTTGCTTTGTCACTCTTTCCTCATTTATTCTTTCTACATGACCAAACCACCGAAGCATTCCTTTCTTAATCCTGGTCACAACATCATCTTGCAAACCACACTCTTCTCTTATCAAACAATTTCTCATCCTGTCATTGACATTCATCCCTAACATACTCCGCATTTATTTTACTCTCGTGCTTCTTCTGCAACACCCAACTTTCACTACCATACTAAAGTAGGGACTAACACAGCATTGTACATTGCCATATGTGCCTTTTTGGACATATTCTGACTTCCCACAATAATTTATTGTATTTAATTTCAATTTCAGGTATATACTTAGCGTGTATAGCTGGTGCTGCACTCATTGTCGCAGTCGGAGTGGATTCTATGAAAAGGTGTTATTCTTTTGCTTATTGTTTAAGCCATGGCTTTTATTTCACAGATTGATTAAATTTCTGATGTCTGTGGTCATAATCAACCTGCAGGACTTATTTAATCATTAGTGAGTACAACTGAGTTTTTTTATAGGATAAGGGTGTCAAACGAGCACACAGTCCACCTGATGGTAAGTGGTTGCTCCGGCTCATAGATATCTACATCTATCCTCTATTACAAATCCAAATTCAAATGTGTAGTCACCCGTGAGGACTAAGATTGAATGCCTCATTTTCAGTAAAAAGGGTCTCCGGTTCTCTAAACTCACCATACAAAACACAGCAGCGTTAAGCTGCTATTTTACGTTGGTATTCTGTGAGAGCGTGGTCCTTCCCCGGTCGAGCCGACCCATTCGTGCTACAACTATACTACTAATATAGCTGCAGCATGGCTCTACCACGTACTAATTTATGTTTATCTAAAACAGGTATGAAAATGGACGCTCTGAGCCCGGCTCAGGTCAATCTACCTTATCACTCCTTGTTGTCACGATGAAACTGTTGATAGAGCCCGATCAATTGATGCTTACCATTATAAGCGTATTCATCGGCCTACAGCAGGCGTTCTTTGGAGCAGATTTTGCAGCTGTAAGTTATCGAATCGAAGAAAAAAAAATAGAATAAAACAATGTTTTTTATAGATGACCATAGGTCTACATCTATCATCGATTAAAAATTAAAAATGCTGGTGCGATTTCACCTCGATGACTAAGATGGAATGCCTTGTTATCAGTTAAAAAGGTATCTTGTTCTCATCACTCGCTCAGTAATACTAGTATTCTGCTATTTTGCGCTGGTACTGTAAGAGTAAGATCCTTGCCCGGTTGAGCCGACCCATTCGTGATACAACCATAACAACAATGTAATGTCCTCTAGACTGAATTTCATTCACGGCGATAAGTCTGTGGCGGCGCTGTCGTCGCGCCACAAGCGAAACACATCGAAGCCTAAATCGCGCTAACAAAGTTCCGAAGTTAAAGCAGTATATATAGAATAGCTCCGAACTACCACTCGGAGCGTTGGTCGCTCCCCGGGCAGAACACCTTGCCCGGCGGGAGATCTCCCCTTTTCCTTCCACCCGCCACAAGTCTCATCTGCGCTGGATAATTATTGTGCTAGAGTGTATGCGCAAGTTCAGATACACTCTCTCTTCTTTTACTTTCATAGTAAAAAGGGACGCCTTTACCTGCGTTTCGGGGCACCTGGGTGAAAATCAAAAATTTCCTGACTCCGGGTTGCGAGAGAGCGTAGTTGAGCCACCTATGGCTCTAAACCCCCTTTTGATACATTAACTATCCCATATTATATACCCGTGGATGTGGAGGCGACGGAAGGAAATAAAAAGTGCGACTTTCTAAGCGTAGTAACAATCGCAAATATCCCTCTTATGAGCCAATATTGGGGAGGCCTGTGTTCAGTATTGGACTTTTGATAGGCTGTAAAAAAATAAGAAGAAAGGGGCACTGAATCATCATATATATTTTTATCTATGACATTAACAGAATCTAGAAAGATGGCTTCGGGGGCCGCGTTCAATCGGGTGACACTAACGGGGCTAGTAAAGCAGTAGAAAGACTAAGGTTATGTTCGCGGACCTCAAACCCTCAGTTATCATAGAACTTTCATTAGCGCTGTTAGTGATTGGTCACTGTAGGTATCTTCAAGAAATAAAATCCAGAGTATTTTGCAACAAAAATACAATAGTTAAAGGAAAACCTTCTTTATGAAATTTATTTTATATCGCTAAAATGTCTTGTTTCCCAGGCGTTTGTTTCATGCGCCATCGGCACGGGTACAGTTGGCTTTGTAATGATGACATACGGCGCTGCAAACGCAATTGGATGCGTTGTTTCAGGATACTTAACTAAGGTTTTTGAAATGTAATATAATACTATAATATACTAGGTTAACCATATAACGGCGGTGTAAGAATAGCAGCATATTTTTGAAAACAACTCAAAGTAATAAAAACTGAGGTAGCCGACCCGCCTGCCAAACGTAGAAACAATGGCAAAATTGGATTATTCCGTTTATATATACCCTAAAAAATGCAACCTAGAGTGGATACTCGGAAACGCGTGTTCATCTATAGGTATATATAATTAGAATTCGTACATATTATTTATCTTCCGATTTTCCACCTCAGCTGTGTAAAGAACATGATAGAAACTGGCCAAAGATACTTAGTAGACATATATAAATATTTAGTTACATACTCCTTGTTTGAAAGGTTAACGCTGAAATAAAAGAAGTACCTCACAGGATTACAGATTCATTGGAATCATGGCATTAAAATAATTCAAAATGCAGTTAAAGAGAAACATCCGATAGTAATGTGTTTGGAGTGCTTGCAAAAAACTTCTAGTTCTCCGCTAACATATCTATTGAGAGAAAAATTAGAAAATGATTGTAAATGTACATTAAATGTGACGAATTTATCCAGGATATCAAATTACGTCTACTCAATAATGAAATTAATGTTGTAGATTGTCTGGACATATTGCAGAATTAATAAATTAGGTAATAACAGTATTTAAAACGAGAGAGTTCAATTTGATTTAAACGCAATACGTAATGCATGGACGGTAACGGTAATATTGTTTTATTATTAAGTTAACAATAATTAATAAATAAAGTCTATGTGTTGAACTGTACTTGGGGTGAAAAGTCGGAAGAACAAATAAAAGTGAATTCCGATTATCCACCACAGACTGGGTGGATAAATGAGCCCGCGTTTCCAAGTATCCACCCTAAGGTTGATTTTATACAGTGGATAACCCGCAAAATCCCCTATGAGGAGGTAATTTACGGAGGAGATCTATGTTCAGCATTGAACCTATAAGGCTTTAAGGGAGGACTCCTTTTCTGGCTCAAAGTTTGTCAGGGTACGTCTTGCCTTCAAGCAGCGGTGCATGCACTGATGTGTTCCGGTGTGAAGGATATAGATAGTAAACATATTTATGTATTTATTTACAGCATAATTACAGATTGAGGCATTCTGTATTAAACCGCGTATCCACCAAAAATATTGACAACAGTTATGTTTCCAACTGTTTCCAACAAGCGTCTCCACCGAGGGAACAAGTGTATTCCTTTGATGTTGCCACCGAAAATGGAAACAAGTTTTGTTACCAACTGTTGTGTTAGCAACAAAACTTTGGTGGAGACGCGGCTTTAGTCCTCAGAGGTGACAACTCATCGGCAGCTTTGTATTCGTAGCCTTTTTTGTTTGAGGGAAGTTTCATGTATTCATGAATTGGCAGTAGCCACTTACTGCCACGTACTGGGTTGTAAGTACGTCTCTCATTTTATTTTTTTTTTTAGATAAAATTAGGGATTATTATTTTTAATATTATTTAGTAATGAGCTGATTATTACTGATTGCATTATATGGATCTTATAGATATCAGTCGCCGACTCGACTTTTTCTGTCATCTTCCTCATCAGCCTGTAAAAAAGTCCGTTACTGGACATGGAACTCTTCTTTAATACAAGGATTGACCTTAATCGACACGCTTGACAGGCGAATGGCTGATCTTGACAAGTGGATGAATTTTAACCTTTTTATTAAAACAAATATATATTGAAAAGGACATATTATATATATTCAATGCCGCTTATATCCTGAAAAAATAATAATTTACATGTAATTTCATGTATGTATCTTTGTTCTTTCTATCTTTATCAGCCCTTTTAAGCTCACCACTGGACGCACGCATATGCTACTAAAAGCAAATTGTTGGTTGCAAATGATTTAATACATGCATTTTTATGCAGATTTTAGTCGAGCATATATGTTCTTGAGTACGTGATCTTATAAAAAGTCGAGCATGGTTTCCGCTCTGTCTATCTTCTTTGTTGGTCTGTGACCGATAAATTAAACTTTCACGGTAGTCCCGTGTGAATTTTAATCAGATCATGATAATTGTGGCAGGTTTATATTTGTTTCAAATGTTTTAAATAATCAAATTATGCAGGTTACCGGCCGTTTACCCCTGTTGTGTACAGCTGCCGTAATCCAGACTGGACTCTTCGTGGCTATCTTAATATGGAAACCGCATCACAACGAAGCGTACGTGCTGTACTCGATAGCCGTGCTGTGGGGTCCGTGTGACGCTTTGTGGGTGGTGCAAATTAATTGTAAGTAATACCACTGTTTTTTCATCTACTGATAACTCAGTTGGAATAAATATAATGGATTCTTAACTACCAACAAAGCTCCCAGAAAATCTGGTATTATGTTAGATGAGACTCTTTGGGAGAATGGGCCTGAACAGTTGAGTTGCGCTTGCGCATAAAATCCGGTTGCGGCGCGACCGTTTCTTAATGTCAGGTGCCTGGTTATGGAGGTTAGCGGAATCCGAAGCATAGTTCTCCGGTGTCGGCGTCGGTGTCCCCGTCACCTTAAAGAACCCAATTTCTCCACAACCTGGGTATTGATAGACATAGGAACGAACAAAATAATTTATTCTTGTGTCTACCGATCGCACAGCGGTGATCAGGAGACAAGTAGAATATTACACACCTTAGTGAAGCCTCTGATGTGGCTTTAAATCGGTACCCTACTGCACAGTTGGTTTTTCTGGGGGACTTTAAGGCCTGTCATCAGGACCAGCTGTTCCCATACTAGAAAACCTACCACGATGGGAGGGAGGCGTGGAATTTTTACTTGTCGCTGGGGCTGTCTCGGCTTATACAACAAACGACTAGGGTACCCGATGTGGATGGGCACACAGCCAACTGCCTCGACCTTCTGCTGACAACCTATCCGAACAGGTACGATGTTCAGGTTACCTCACCCTTGGAAACTTCTGACCATTGTCTGGTGAAATCTGTCTCAGTATATTTCCCACTTAACTACGATTCCCTAGGTGTGCAGCGAATGTGGCGATACAAGTCGGCAGATTGGGATGAGATGCGGCATTTCTTTGCATCTTATCATTGGTGGCAGGTTTGTTTCACATCTGACGATCCATTGAACTCGATATCATTACCGATGTGATACGTTAAGCAATGGAGTATTTCATCACTTGCTGACGTGTCAGTTGGTGGTAAAGTGTGCCCATAGTTCAACGCTGAGTGCGCTCGTGCTGAAAAGCACAAGCATATGGCGTACTTATCGTGGGTCGATGCTCGAGACCGCAAAGCTCCGCATGTTAGCCATAAGAAGAGTGCCTTTAACCTAGCCGCCAAGTCCTGCAAAAAGGCATTACGGCAAGTCAGTTTCGACCACATTAAATGCATCGGTGCAAAGCTCTCTGTCAAAACATCTGGCAGTAGAGCTTTTTGGTCTCTCGCCAAAGCGGTTGAGAGTAACTTCTGTCTTCGTTGTTCTCCGGTCTACACTCCCTCTGCTCGTAAAACCAGATGGCGCACTGGCGCGTGCGGCTAAGAAGAAAGCGGTCTTATATGCTTCTCTTTTTTTTGAGATTTGCGTCTGGGCAGTAGTACCAGCGTACCACCTCAATTACCTCACAGTGATACCTCTATGTCAGAGGTCTATATTACCAATAAGGAGCTTCTTAAAACCTTGCGAAGTCTAGACATAAACAAAGCTAGTAGACCTGATGGTATACCAGCTATATTACTTAAGATCTGTGCGCCTGTGTTATCTCCTGTGTTGGCTTGTTTTTCCATCTCTCATTCAGGACTGGGATAGTACCAAAATCTTGGAAGCTATCCAATGTGCAGCCTTTGCCTAAAACTGACAGCAGTTCTGACTCTGCCAACTACCGGCCAACTTCAATTACCTCATGGCATACCTTGAGCAAAATGATCTCCTCAGTGACCACCAGTACGGGTTTCACTGAAACTAATCAACTGGGGACCTTCTAGCGTATGCCACTTACATATGAGGAGAAGCCCTCGAGAACAGTGGGCAATATCTACTGCATATTAGCCTGCTTCACATTTTTCGGAAGTTACTGCCGTGGTCGAAAATTACCAAGATGAAAACCAGATACTTACATAGTCACATTGTTTAAAGTCAGGAAGGTACATTATGCATGCGTTCTTAGATTTTTTTCTCTTTTTCAGCATACTACGGAGTTTTGTTCCCAGGAAGAGAAGAGGCAGCGTTTTCCAACTTTATGCTATGGGTATCTGTGGGATATATTATTGCTTACATCATATCCCCACATTTGAGAATCAGTATTAAGACTTACTTAAATATCGCATTGTTGATAATAGGACTCTCTCTCTACTTCGTTGTAGAATACAGAGATAGAAAAGCGAAGAAGTTAGAAGAGAAGAAAAAAGAATTGCATACGATTGGTTGTGATAATATCGCGTTTGAAAACTTAGATTGATATATGATACATGATAACCTAGATTTAACTGTTGTGAATTTGAGAATATGTAATTAATTTATAAATAATATAGTTTAGTTTGTTAATATGTTTGTTTGTTATTATATAAAAAAAGCTAATAATGTAGAAACGTATCGGACAATCCCATCATTCGTCACTTTTTTCAGGCAAAAATAATGCTAATTGCAACATAGCATTTAAATGTGTTTTTTATTTATTTTATGGACTTAGAAAGTGCTGAGGTGATGATGGCTGAGCGGTGAAGCAGGAGTTACCTTGCAATTCATAGTACGCAAGCATCCCGATTTGATCCCGAAATTCTTAATTGCAATTTTAAGCATCGATTTAACACTAGTGAAACATTTTGATAAAACATCGATCTCAAAACATAAACATGTCAGAAAATAAATTTTAAGAGTATGTAACTTTCGTCAACATCAGTGTATGTTGAAACTGAACCTTTTGTGCTCTAAAACACACTAAAATGGACAGAGGTCTCTGCGGAGTGGAATGTATGAATACTGTTACATTAGTTTTGTACTAATTATTTATTAGAAAAAAGCATTCAATTTTTTTAATTTACACGTAAGTAATTTGTAAAGTATTTTATTAATGAACAAGTTGTGCCTAGAATTCGTTGCAATGTTTTTTTTGTCAGAAACTTTGGCGGACTTTTCATCGTAATCAGATATATATCTGATATATATCTATGTAGTAGAGGTATACAAACGGGATAAACAAAGAAAATATATGTACATTTATTATCTACGTCATCTTTACTCATCAACTCATCACGTGTCCACTTCTGAACATACGCCTTTCCCAAGAAATGCAAAGCACGGTCCGAAGCCACCTGCATCCACCGACAATAAACATGAATGAGAATATAAATTTATATATAACATTACTAGTAAGCTGAAGTGGCAATAGGCCGGTCATATAGCTCGAAGAACCGACAACTCATTGGGAAAAAAAGTTCTCGTACCGAAGACGAAGTGTAGGGTGACCCCCCACTAGATGGAGTGACGTCCTGGTAAGACATGCAGGAACTCGATGGATGCAGGTGGCTCAGGACCGCGCTTTGTGGCATTCTTTGGGGGAGGCCTATGTTCAGCAGTGGACTTGTGAAGGGCTCTAATGAGGATGGTGATGATGATATAACATTAAATAATCATAGGTCATGCGGGTATTGTAGGCAATGAACTTACCGACAAGCTCACATGGGGGGCTCAAAGAGTACACAATATCGACCCGAGCCATTTTGTAGAATCTCAAAAATCCTAGCCCGATTGACCCTTGAAACTCTTTATCACAATAAATCACTTAAGATCTGGTCTGATACACTAGGCTTAAAACATTCTTAAACCTTAATACGGGCTTATGGTCGTAAATTCGCTTCAGAATCCCTGGGATTAAGTAAGAATAAGCTACGTATTCTGGCAAGAACCCTGACTGGACACTGTTGCCATTCAAGTGGCAAAATTAAAAATTTTGTACAACCGACATTAATATAAATAAAATGAAAACATCATCAATGTCGAATATTCGAAGTCAATTAAATACACATTTTTAGGGATAACTCAAAAACTTCTGGTCAGATCTTGATCAAATTTATGGGATGGGACTACAAGAGAAGCATCATTTTTTAAATAAAAAAAAAGAATCATTAAAACTGGTTCACCTAGAAATTTTTTTTGGGGTGACACACATAAAAAGAACTACAAACTGACTCCTGGGCAGAAAGGAAGTCCAACCAACTAGACGAAAAGTCTAAAAAAGAAAAAACTCGTAGAATATTACAAAATAGTGTGTACTTATGCAATGAAATGCAATGCAATCTGCCTATGAAGCATGTCGTATATGGCAACTCCTGCCTACAGCTTCAGAGTCTCATAACCGGAAACTAATTTTTAAAGAAGGCGCGCTGTTAAAGGAGATAAAATTTACAGTGCTTTATTTGCAGAATCGAAAACATCGTCCAAATCAGATTTTTGTATACAACGCTTCCTACTATAGCTTAAAACATGCACAAGGCCAGATCGTATTATACACTGAAGACACAGGGCACCCAGCTAAACGCGTCCAGCAAGCGGTTCCACTGCGTTCAGTACTCGCGCGCGCTGGACTCGCGGCAGCGAGCTGTCTCGATGCACTCGCACTAGTGAGCTGTCTCGCACTCGCACTAGTGAGCTGTCTCGGCGCACTCGCTAGTGCGAGCTGTCTCGCACTCGCACTAGTGAGCTGTCTCGGCGCCCTCGCACTAGCGAGCTGACTTGGCATACTCGCACTAGTGAGCTGTCTCGCACTCGCACTAGTGAGCTGTTTCGGCGCACTCGCACTAACGAGCTGTCTAGGCTTCAACACTATAGGCATAGGCACCAAGTTTGCATACCCCTCAGTGGCTGTTGACATAGGCACAAAATTAACGCGTATCACACAGTCTTCAACACTGTAGGCATAGGCACCAAGTTTGCATACCCCTCAGGGGCTGTTGACATAGGCACAAAGTCAGCATATCACACAGACTTCAACAGTGTAGGCATAAGCACCAGGTTGGCACACCCCTAAGTGGCTGTTGACATAGGCATAAAGCTAGCGTAAATTAGTACCTGAAACCCTTTTCATATTGGATTTTACTTCATACAGTAAAACTACACTACTACAGTCAAAGTAAAAGACATGGTAACAATTACGTTAGATGCACAAGCGTGCACTCAAGTACATCCAACACTGGTTTCACAAAATAGATAACCATAGTAATTTAAGATTGGAATAGATGTAAAAAGTTCCAGGTGCATGAAGCAAATAAATAATCTGGTTAGCAAAATAAAAATATAAAAGAAGGAAAGTTCTCCACATATTTTCATAAGAAACGGAAACTGTGTGACATGACACTCACAAAACATTACACACATTGCAAAAAGGAAGCTGCATGTAGAGGCGTAGGCTAGGGCTGTACGCCAGTAGCAGACAGAGGACGCACCCAGCGTTTCCGCTGCGCGTAGACCAGCAAGCGCCACATGACACAGTGGACGCAGAGCACACGCCATAAGTAGCCGCTATAAGGCAAGCGCACGTAGCTAAAAGAACACACCACACGCCATAATTAACTGCCATAAGGCAAGCGCACGTGGCTAAAACCACATACCACATGGCGTGCCGCAGTCGCACTAGCGCACTAGTCGCGACCAGCAAGCCGCTGCGCCGCATCACGCACTCGAAGCATCAACAGGAGCAGCAGGAGCACCTGAGAGCTCACAGGCACCGTCGGAGTTGTAGTCATCGTGATCTGTGCGAAAACAAGTATTTAATTAACAAGACAACATACACCCTTGCCTATTCACTCATCCATCGCGCATACGAGGCCCTCAAACAGAAATACGCTCTCATACAGAGACTAATATTACGGGAACTGAAGCATGCAAAATTATTTATTATTAAATATGCTCAATTATTTGGAAAAAGTTTTTCAGATGGACCTAGAATATTTATATAAGTACAACACAGAGCATTTATGAGTAGCAAATTAAATTGAATCCAGTTTTAAGTGAGGGAATACTTAGGGTTGGAGGGAATTAAAAAACACCAACATCCATCACGATATGATGCACCCTATAAAAATACCTTATAAAAGTAGATTGACGGATCTTCTAATAGATTAAGCACATAACATGACATTTTACGGTATTCCTCGACTTACTTTAGGTTACGGTTACGCCACAAATATTGGATTATATGAGGCAACAGAGCCATTAAGGCGCAGGTTGAGCAAAATGTCGCGCTAGTCGTTATTTGTGCGGTATTTAGGAGCTATCTACTTTTTATTTAAAAGATATATCAACAAATAAAAAACACATTATATTTCTACATAATCTTGATTCCATAAAAGCTATATCCAATTTTTTTTTAAACGAATAAATATTAATATAATCTCCTTACAACGAAACCACATAAATGTGAAATTATTATTGATAACATGCATCTCCTCGTAAAGTAAGTATTATTTTATTTTGCGATTTACACCAATGGATAGGCAATTTATTAATGAACATTTCTATAGTAAATTTTTTTTCAAAAGACCAAAATTTGATTTTATTAAGAATTTATTTTAAAATCTGGGCATATTCACTGCTCACGGGCTTGCTGAAGTCAGTGAGCCCTGAGCTCTTCGACGCGAAGCCCGTGTCGTTAGAGCGTCGACCAGCACATACACTCACGTCATATTAGTCGATAATAATATTACTTATTAGGTTATTTATAGATAGTATTATTTGTTTGTTTTGGGTATAATTTTTCGTATTAGTTATACATATATTTGTTGTGTTTTTTACTGCGCGATGAAGCTTTTTGCGTGTATTTTCTTTGAAGTAAATGCAAATAAAAAAATGAAGCACCATTAGCATGTAAGGTTCGAATCCATAATTAAAATTTCGACAAATATTATAATTTACACTATAAAAGGCTAATTCAATATTATCACCCAACCACAATATCTTATTAGGTATAGTACCGCCTCGTTGGTCTAGTGGTTGTAGTAGTGCGAGTGCTGATCATGAGGTCTCGGTTTCGAATCCCGGGTCTTGTCAAAAAGTCAGTTATGAGTTTTTGGCCCGTTTTTGTTTTTATTTATTGCTTGTTTTTTCTTCTTTTTCAAAAAAAAAATAATTGAGTACATAAGATGTTCTATACGCCGAATGTCAGAGAGAAAAGCTAGTACATCTTTTGCTAAACTTTAAAATCTAAAACCAATTTTAAAACAGACGAATTGATCATAACTCCCTTAGCTATAAAATAAGTTATGATCTAATTAATGGTATTTATTCCAGTTTATGGCAGCTCTGATTTATATTACGTGGCTGAAATTAGGTACATCTTATTAGGTACGTCAAACCAAATAACAGCCGGGCGGCTGACATTATGCACTCCATACATTTCTTATATTATCTAATTACAGTCCCATTAATTTCCACTAAAAGAAAATAAATAAGTTGTAAATTCAA